GGACGCTGGGACACTTTGACACAAGAGACTAACAAACCCAATCAAGACACAGAAATAAAAACGGGAAAGGGGCTCGTCGAGCCCGTTAGGTAGGAACAGGGGACAATGCCACAGCCTTTGAGTGGGAACGTTCAGCTTCCTGCTGGCTGAGTTTCTCTCACTTTAGCTTTTTTTACACTGTGTTCCCATTCATGGTTTTCTGTTGCACTGTATGAATCACCACAATCAGATTCTCTTTCTGACGTCCCATCTTTTGTGTTTGTTTGGCCGACAGGAGGTGACCTGTACAAGCAAAAGAATTTGCTGCAAGAGTGATGTGTGCTAGAGTTTTTCCTTTTTTATTCTTTTGTTTTAATCAAACATCCTTAGGACCTTTTTTTTTTTTTTTTTTAATATGATTATATAGAGCCCTGACTGTTTTGTTATGCTCACAGTCTGTGAAAGCAACACAGGGTATTGAATACAATAACAAGCTTCGGCCCCGTTTAGACTCCCATCTTTGATGATTTGATCACAAGTTGCGCATCTCTGAATGAAAGCGGCCATTGCCTCTTTCGCACAGAGATCATGCCGATTTGCACAAACCATTTGTGCATTTTTCACAACACCCCCAACTCAAAGTCTTCGTTTTCCTTTATCACATTAAAATCCTGCAAAATGGCTTAATTTACCAGTTGGTGGTTTTCACACAGAACCCAGCAAAGCATTATAATTGTCGAGTACACTTTCACACAGTGGCACCGCAACCCAAATCCAAGCTTGTTCGTCTTTTTCAAAGATCTCCGAAATACTACATTCTCATGGCAGATGCAGACGTTTAGCCGTTTGTGCATTTTACACAGAACCCAGATAAGCAGGACATTTCTGCAACTGTGTGCGCTTTCACGCAGTATCCCATGATCGGACAATGAGACAACGGCAATTAAGTCAGTACACACCTGCCACCATCTAAAGTGCTTCCGAGGAACTGAAAATAAAATGCTGATGTTCTAGTCGGCTTTTCCTGACTTTTTTTTTTTTTTTTTTGCTTTCGAGCAGAAGCCTCAAGTTTTTGCGCTAACACTGACTGATATTTCGAACAGTTCAGAATTCCACCCATTTTTCCAAGACCCCATTTCCAACTGAAGAAAAACAACACCTGCTGCCACCACCATGCTCCATTGCAGGTGTGGTGTTCTTTTGGTGATTAAGCAGTGTTGCCTTTTGGAATGATTGCCAAAAAAGTTCAGCCTTGGTTTCATTGGACCATAACACATTTGTTTGGGATATTTTGCTCCATTTGTTGTGGTTTCTTTAATTGGAACTGGTGCCTTACTTCCACAAAGCGGGTGTAATTATGAAACGTTCGAAATACCTGACAGTGTTAGCACAAAACCGTCGTGCTTCTAGTCGACAGCAAAAAAACACACCAAAAAAAACTGTCATGAAAAGACTAGAAAAACAAATGAACTTCATTCGGGGTTAATAAGAGCTCTTCCGCTGTTGACGTTTACGTGTCATGTGATCAAACCACCAAAGAAGGGTTTTCATTAGAAGGGCCTCAATGTTGAAACGCAGGTTTATGGGTCTCCCTCACTTTGTTTTGTGAGATATTTAACATGAGTTAATGCGTCAAAAATCCAAAATAAACAGACCAGATTGTTTTCCACCTCAGAGATGTACACCATACTGTGGTTTCTGTTCCTTTCTGACGTCCCAAAATGACATCAAATGTGGTTTTGTACATCAATTACCTAGATTCAGCTTTTCTGCGCCGACACAGGTTGTGCAATGACTTTTAGGTGCATCCTTTTTTCCCTTTTTCCACAAAAAAAGGGATAAAAACAATCTGGATTTTGCCTTCTTGTCTGTTTTCAAGTCACGTTAAACAATCCGTGCTACTTTTCTTGACTGAAATGAGTTTCCCATCATCATAGCTGCTAGTTTTGTAAAGCGAGACTTACATTTGAACATGAGCCAAATGATCAAACGGAATGAAGATATGCTAAGTGTGGCAAAAGAGAAGACGGTGAGATTGATCTTGTTAAACCCCAAATTCCGATTCAGAAAGCAACAAGTGAGGGGAAGCAAGCGTTCACAAAAAACACTTGTTATGAGATGTGATTATTGTATCTCACAGAACAAAGCCTGTCTTAACCAAAGATGTGATGGGAGTCATGTAACCACCACCCAGGTTGTGTTTTTTCATGTTTGTTTGTTTTTAATTCAAACACTAATGAATACAACTGTGTTTATGTAAGAGCTCATCTTTTCATATATCTATACTTTTTTTAAAAGGTACCGGCTAGTCCAGTATACCTACAGTCTCCAATTCCGTAGTTTCTGTCTCTGACCTTTTTCATTCCCCATCTCTGTGAACTGTTGCTGATGTGTGTCCAAGTTGTCACAATGTCTCAATACGTTGATTTTCTGTTTACACCTGAACCAAAACTATATTAGTAATGTAACTCAGGCCTTTTAATTCACAGGCAACCTGATGACTGGGTGTTATCTCTGATACTCTGTAAACTGTTAACTCTGCGTAGTTATGCTCAACATTACCTGTCAATCATCTAAGGGGGTGGGGGGGGCGCATTGGAAGGAAAATGTCACCTTTCGGAAGGTATATTAACACACTAAATGTCTGGCTCATGTGTTGAATGTCATTTTGTGTGTGCGTGTGCGGCATATTTGTTTGAAACACCAAATCCCAGAATGAGCGCCCATAGCCTGGCGGCCATTTTTGTTTTGGTTTGTTTCTTTTCAAGACCGAATATTTCATTAAGTAAAGGGCTTTTTTAAAAGACACCTCATTATTATTTTCACATTCAGGAACAGCTTTACCACGTTCATGAACAGATACCACATCATCCATGAGGAAAAACATGCCGATGCCGGATAATCATGTCAGTCAGTCGACATTAGCGTAGTGTAGATGTAGATGTTGACCACAGGAAAGACCGATGGAACCTCAAGGGCTGACCTCATTTTATTTATTTTTTTTTTAAATCAGTTTTTATTCATTTCTATTTCACTCCACAACTCAAAGGGATCAGGTATTTAAAAAAAAAAAAAAAAAAAAAACATTCATTCCAGCTCACAAGCGATGTCCGATGCGATAACTGATGTCAACCATTCTATGATACACACTACAGTAGAATGATTCCAACAACGACCCAAACATTTCAAGCCCACCCTTCCTTGCAAAGAAACCCACTCCGGGTGGATCAAAATGAAAAAGGAAAAAAAAAAATAGCGGCTAGTCCTTGTGTAACCACTGGATGATAGTGTTGATCCTTTTTTGCTGTTGTCATTGCTGCTAAGGAGCTTCACTGCATCAATTTCATAACATGTAATTTTGTGGGTGCTTTGAACTGGTTCATATTTGAAGTGTTGAGGGCAGGGAGGGTCTCCCCCCCCCATTTGAATTTACGCTCACGGTTGCCCTAGTGTCAGAAGAGGTGATTCTATTCAGTGTTGAAACTGTACTGTCTCTTCAAACCACACAGCAAATTGTCTTTATGATAGCAATGCACAAATGAAATACAATTTGAGGGCGCTAGTAGACGCAGCAACCTAGATCAACACAGTTTCTCTGATTCTTTTTCACGGTCACTATTTTGATTGGAAAATGGGTGGGGGAAACCAATTCATTTCCCCAAGACCAAGTTAAAAAAAAAAAAAAAGTGTAGTTGGAGGGGTTGTTTTTTGGGTGGGAGAAATAGCAGTAGCACAGAGCATCAGACATAAATACACTGAGTCCATCTTAAAAAAGAAAACAACAACAACAACATTAGGATTATTACCCATTTACTAATACAAATTCATGAAGGTTTACTCCGTAATATTACTCGGATAAAATATCGCTGTCCAATGCAAAGCGCGTACCTCCAAATTTTCTTTTATTTTTTTCTTTTTCTTTTTTTTATTGTTCCTTTTTATTTTGTAGCAGTCTTTCCTTGTACAAATGAAACATGCTGTACACAATAAATGTAATATCATTTGTTTTGTAATGCAAATATTCTTTTACAATGAATCTGACATCCCCATTTATAATGGTTTGTTTTTATAAATTACACGTGCACTTTTTCATTGGACAGCATTGATATTTTTTTTTTCCATTTGCTAGATGTGGTGGGCAAAACCACCACTGCCACATTATTGCAGAGACATTAGAAGCTGAATTGGCGCAAGGTATTGAAAGCAAAAAGAGCAACAGGAAGTAAACAGGGTCCGTCAGGGTCGCAGAACCTTTGGCTTTCACCTCATAAACATCAACAAACCTCACCAGAAGCACAGTTAAAAATACGTTTGGAGGCGTGCGATGACGTGTGCGTCATGGATGGACTTTTTTTTGTGTGTGTGTGTGTGTGTGTGAAAACAACTTCGATGACATGTTATGTAAATCCAACATTTTGGTAAAGTACTGTAACACTCAGTGTTGTCACTCTGCTGTTTGTTCCAATGTGATTTGATTTGACATCAATATACTGCATTCAGCTGTGTACGGCTCTTTACATTCAGTCGACAGCTCAGATTATTGTGGTCTGTAGCAGTTGTAGCCAATGCTTCTTTTCGACTATATCACACACCAACATACAAAGATCAATGTTGTTTGTTTGGGTTTTTTTTTCGACTTGCACATTTGTATCGCGCAAGTACCCCGATTATGATGGCCCACGTTTCTCGTCTTTGTTCTCTTCCCTCTCCTGTGGATCTATGCAGAAGCCCATGTTTTTTTGCTTTGTTTTTGGTTGTAAATATGTTCCCTGGTATGCTGAACAATATGTGTTCCTTCCTCCTCTTTGCGTGTATTCAGTTGATGTCACGATGTTAGATTTTTTTTTTATTATTGTTTTTTTTTTGTATTTCTGATGTTTTTTTAAACTATTATTTCGAGCACCTGAAATCATTCATGTTCAAGAGAATGTGTTTAGTCCTCAGCTTCGTCGAGAGCGAGAGAGGTTGTGGTTCCGTGAGCGAACGTGAATGCGGAAAGATTTTATCGACTCCAGAAATCGGGATGGGGTGGGGGGGAAAGTATCATATAAAAGTATCATTGCGATTATGATTATTATTATGATTACTATTACACTACCAGTATATTGTAATATTATAGATGCTTTAGTTGGACTAACTTCTTTAATTTTTTTACAAACGACTTTGATGAAATGATTTATAAAAATAAGTCTGACAAGTCACAATCTTTTCGAGAAGTATGGAAACTACCGCGACAATGATTTAAAAAAAAAACTGTGTTCCAATGAAAATAAATACAGACATATCTGTTGCTTTGCTGTCTATTTATTCTCTCTCCGCAAGATTCTGTTCTGAAT